TGCTGCACCAAGCCTGTCGCCGCCCAGCTGTCCAGTCAACCCGCGCAGTAAGGATGGACGACTTTCCAAGGTTACCCTTGCGTCGTTCCGCTTCGGCCCATCCTTGGCCGCTTTCGCTGGCCGCGCCCCGCTCTCAAAGTGTCGACATGGCCTTTCCAGGCCCATGCATCCTTATCGTGCGTCCTTATCCTACGGGTTGATCGTAACGGAATGTTGTGCTCTGAGCTGTGGCTGAAGAGGATCCCAGCTCAGCGCTCCAGCTTGCCGCGCAAACCCCTTGGTCGAGCGGCTCCCAGCACTGTGGCCGACGGCATGGCTCGCGCGTGCCTGTCCCCTTGACTTGGCCCAAGTGCAGTGTTCCAAGGGGGCCTTGCCTCCGATGATCGAAAGTGTTGCCATCTCTTTCTCGTCGGAAGGGCGGCGGAAGGCGGCGGCAGTGCAACCAGGCCGTGCTCGCCGGCGGAAGCTGGCGGAAGGCCAGCGGAGGCCGGCGGAAGCAAACGCCAACCTCCCAGGAGATGATATTCGTTTTGGGTCAAGGGTTTCCGGGATCCGCCAGGTGGCCCTGGTGCCAGTTGTGTAGTTGATGATTGCCCTTGCCGCCGCGGGCCCGCACCCCGACCGCGTCTACCCTGTGCCCGCACTCTTCCGCCGTGACGCGAGCACCATGGGAGGAGGAGGAGGACCAGTGTCAATCCGAAACGCACTAACAATGTTGCAATGTTGCAATAAAACCTCCCTCCAAGTTTCGTCTTCACAGGTCCCTGCAATAATTGATTATCATTAGGGGCAGTTCCCAATTTGAAGACAACATCATATGAAGATCCAATCATGCCCAAAAACGGTTCCTTGGAATTCAGCGCCGCGAGTCAACGTGACCGCTGTGGCCTGACAATCCTGAATCGTGCTGGGAAACCATGCCGGAGACTACCAGCCAGCGAATCAACGTGACTGTTGCGCCTGGACGGTCCTACACCGTGCCAGAGCTCCATCCCTGGGACTTCAGCCATCCGAATCCTTCGAACCACTGCAAACTTTCAGGGCGAACGTGCGCGGCGATCACGCGAGAGCCTCGTTTTGAACCGGGCCGTCCTGCATCCGTGCAAGCGCGGCAGGCTCTCTGTACGCGTGCGCGCGGCGCCAAGGCGAGGGCCGCGCAGCAAGAAACAACGCCGCGCCCTCCGGCCACGAAGCCGCTGCAACCTGTGTGGCGAAGGTGCGCGGCGCCGTGGCGAGGGCCCACGCTGAGGAACCAGCCCGCCCTCAATCCACGAACCATGGAGGAGGAGGAGGAGGAGGAGGAGGAGGAGGAGGAGGACGAGGAGGAGGAGGAGGAGGAGGAGGAGGGAGGCGGAGGAGGAGGGAAGGAGGAGCAGGAGGAGAGGAGGGGGAGGGGAGGAGGAGGAGGAGGAGGAGGAGGAGGAGGAGGAACAGGAGCGATGGGGGAGGAGGTGCACGATTCGAGCAAGGGTGCGCGGCGCGGAGTCCAGGGCCACATCTTGAGAACGGGCTGCTTTCATCATGCTATGCAGTGGCGGCAGTTTTGTCATGGCGAGTGTGCGCGGCGCGGGGGCGAGGAGGAGGAGGAGGAGGAGGCGGAGAAGGGGGGGGGGGGAGGAGGGGAGGAGGAGGAGGAGAGAGGAGGAGGCGAGGAGGAGGAGGAGGAGGAGGAGGAGGAGGAGGAGGAGGAGGCGGAGGCGGAGGCGGAGGAGGAGGAGGAGGAGGAGGAGGAGGAGGAGGAGGAGGAGGAGGAGGAGGAGGAGGAGGAGGGGGACGAGTGGGAACGAGGAGGAGGAGGAGGAGGAGGAGGAGCCACACTATGAGCACGACCCGTCCGCCATCCGCGCAGCTGTTGCAGACTTCTCGGGCGAGCGTGAGCGCTAAGAAGAGAGCAATATTTCTGAGACGGCCCGCCCTCCATCCGTGAAGCTGCTGCAACTTGCAAGCTTCAGGATTTTCTATGGTAGGGAAGGCTCAGGCGAAACGCATGGCCAGCCCTGCCGATACGTCTGGGTGCGCGACAGGGAGGAGGATGACGAGGAGGCGGAGGGGGAGGAGAAGGATGAGCAGGGAGACTTGGGAAGAAGAGTAGGAATAATACATAGAAATTGTGGCGCAAGCTTAGCTCGCCGGTGAACAGGCTGGCTTGTATCGCCCCCCCCGCCCGCGCTCCGCTCCTGCGAGAAGCCCCGCAGTCTTTGCTCTCCGATGGCGGTGCCAGCGTTCGATGAGTCTTGGCGCCAAGACCCGATATTGGCAGGTGGCGTGGCGCCACCGGTCGGAGTCAATTTTCAACGTTACGTGCCACCGACCTTCGGCGTCATCGTGCACGAGCCAATGTACTCTCGCAAGGTTGGCATCGTGAGGGCCCGCACACCACCTCCCGAGAACTTGCACGGCCTGCAGCGCGTGGCGGGGGCGTCCGCGAGGCCGGTCGCTGCGCACGGCCCCGTCGGCGCAGAGCTGGACGGCCCGGAGTTTGTGGTGGGATCGCCCGCGACGCGGGTTCCTTCGCGAGGCCCTGACAGTGCTCGTGCAACTTTGCCTGGGGCAGACCTGGACGGGTCCGAGACCTTAGGAGGCGCGATCGGGGTGGCGTTGAAGGTCTTGCGCCGCAATTTGGGAGGCAAGTCCTCGTCTTAGAATTTCTCTGAGATCAAGGAGGCCACGCCAGTTGCGCTGGCCTCGCCACCACGGGCCGGGCTCAGATTCAGAGCTCGGTCATATGTCGAGGCGCTTGCACAGCAATGCCAGTTCTGCAAGAGAGCCAGTAGTGCGTAGCTGATGTTATTAATCGCTTCGCTCATTCCGCCGGCCCGCATTGTGCCATCGCAGGCGTTTGCTTGCGCGTTCGTGGCCTCTTGGAGCCTCGTTGGGGCCGTTTGGGGCCTCTTGGCGCCTCTTTTTAGGCCTCTTGGAGAACTCGGGAGGCCTCCAGGGGGCCTCCTGAGCTCTCGTGACGGTCTCTTGGGGGGCTTTCGGCGGGCTCTTGGCAGTATTTGTTGGTCCTCTTGGGGCCTGGGGCCTGACGTTGTTGGTCCTCTTGGGGCCTCACTGGAGCTTATTGGGTGTCTTGGGGGTGTCTTGGAGAGTCTCTTGGGGCCTCTTTCGGGGTCCTGGGCGCCTTCTGGGGCGGAGGCCTCGATTTTTCAATTCTCGGTTCCCTTCTTGAGCCCCTCTTGGGCCCGTCTTGGGGCCTCTTGGTCCGCCTTGGGCAGCACTTGGGCCGTCTGGGGGGCGCTCTTGGGCCGCTCCGGGGCCGTCTTGGGAGCCTCGTGGGCCGTCTTGGAGCAGTCTTGAAGGCCTCTTGGGCCCTCTTGGAGCGTCCGGAAGCGAAAAGGCCAGAACGCAAACAAACATAGAAAAAAACAATGTAAATCAAAGATTTTGGCAACTTGGGGCCGTCTTCGGAGGCCTCTTGGAAGGCCCTTGGAGCGTCTTGGAGGCCTCTTGGGCTGTCTTGGGGCCATCTTGGGCGTCTTCGGGCGATCTTTGGCCGTCTCGGGCCTCTCTTGGACCGTCCAGAAAGCTTCTCGGGGCCCTCTTGGACCGATCTGGAGCCCTCTTGGACTCCGAAACAGAACTCCGGCATCTCTGACCCGACCTTGCCGGGGACTTGCCGTGGACTTGCCGGGACCTTGCCGGGGTACTTTTCGTCCGGGGACCCCCAGGGGCCGCCCCGCGCGCGCGAACTAGAAATACTGTTAACCAGGTACCGGAGATCTTAGCACGCCCTGGCCCGTTGGGCCGGCGAATTCTTCATGCCCCAATGGAGAACATGTTGCCGCTGTTCAAGAGCCATCCGCACTCGAGGAGGAGGAGGGAATCGCTCTGACAGCAGGTGTGTAGAGAAAGGTTTCAGGAACAACGATAGGGGGAGATGGGCATAGGGGCGGATGCATCGACCCCCAATCGCCCATCGATCGCCGATAGCAGTCTGATAGCCTCAACCCGCCCAGGAACTTACAGATTCACGAACGGGGGCCCATCGCCGATCAATCGGCGATGCATCGCCGATTCCGGGTCGAGCTCGAAATTATTTAATCGCTTCGCTCATTCCGCCGGCCCTGGAGCGCTATTTGGGGCCGTCTTGGGGGCCTCTTGGGGGCTTCTTGGGAGCGTCTTGGGGCTCCTTGGCGGCGTCTTGGGCTCCCCTGGGGTCTCTTAGGGGGCTCTTGTGGTCCCCTTGGGGCGGGAGGGGGGTTAGTCGATTGCAGCCATCCGGGATGGCTGCAATCGACTACCCTCGGAGGCCACGATCCTCGTGAGGCGTGGCGAACAATTGCCTCCCCCCTGGGGATCGCCCTGGACCCGGCCGGGGATCGGCCGGGGTACTTTTCGTCCGAGGGCCCCCAGGGGCCGCCCTGTGCGCGCGAACTAGAAATATTCTTAAGTAGTTATCGGAGATCTAGGCACGCCTCTGGCCCGTTGGGCCGGCGAATTTTTGGGATGTGGTCCTTAAGTGCGATGGGAGCAACATAACCCCACGCGTATCGCAAATCTATTTGTCTCCAGCAGCAGAGGGCAATAGCCCACCCCGATCAGAACCGCCCCGACACGCGAAGCCGTTTCGCAAACGCACCCGCAGAAGGCATCGACCGGGGCAGGGCTTTCAGTACATGCCCAGGGCCGTTCAGTAAACGCCACTTGTCCGGTCCAGGTGGTTTTTCTTCCCTTTAAACAGATTTGTCTCGCACCGGGTAGGGAATCCCCCTAACGTAATAATCATCATCAGTACTGCCACTAGCGCCATCGTGCATCCTCACCACCAGCACCAACATCATCACCATCATCACCATCATCATCATCATCATCATCATCATCATCATCATCATCATCACCATCACCATCACCATCACCATCACCATCACCATCACCATGACCATCATCATCATCACCATCACCATCATCATCATCGCCATCGCCATCGCCATCGTCATCGCCATCGTCATCATCATCCTCATCATCATCAGCATCATCATCATCAGCATCACCATCATAATCATCATCAGCACCAGCATCAGCATCAGCATCAGCACCAGCATCAACATCACCACCATCATCAACATCAACAACATCATCATCATCACCATCATGGTCACCGGCATCGTCATCGTCATCGTCATCGTCATCGTCAACATCACCATCGCCATCACCATCACCATCACCATCACCATCACCACTAACCACCATCATCAGAAAGAGCGTGTTCTGCCGCTGCTTGCAGAAAACCGGGGGGGGTCGTTGGGGGGTTCAAGCCAGTCCCCACCCCACCCTCGAAAACCGGGGGCGGTCACTGGGGGTTCCAACCGCCACCCCCGTCCATCATGAAAAGGGGGGGGGTCACTACTGGTTCGAACCCCCCCCGTCCTCGCCGCCGGCAAACGACTTCCTTCCCTGCCCCTTTCTGGATGGGGGACTGGAAGGGACAGTGGTTGGGACTGTGGTGGGGATGGTTGTGGGGAGAGCGAACAGTGGGACAGTGGCGGGGTTAGTGGGGGCAGTGGGGAGAGTGGGACCTTGGTGGGGACAGTGGTGGAGACAGTGGGGCAGTGTCACGGTGGTGGGGGCACTGGTGGGGACTGGGGACAGTGGTGGGCTCCGTAGCCATTTTGGCTCAAATCGCTCCCCAGCGAGCGAAAGCCGTATCGCTCAAGCGTTCGCGATGGCGCAAGGGGCCGCCGCTGGTGCTGTCTTCAGCGCGGGGGGCTGCCCGAGTTCGTGGCGGCCCAGCTCGACAAGGTCAGCCGAGATCGACCCTCTCGGGCCGTCTTCTGCTCGCCGCGCCGCTCGTCGCAGGGGCCGGGCCGCCCTTGAGGCGGCCCTCCGCGCTCGTGCCTGCGCGGGGCGGGCCGGGCGCCCGGCAGGACGAGGGAGCTGGCGGCCAGGCGCGCGCCGCGGCCCCTGTCGTGCGGCCAGCCTGTCCCTGGGGAAGCCCGCAGGAGGAGGCCTGCTAAAACGACGCGAAGATCGGGACAAAATCGGATCGGGATAACTCTTTATCTATGAGAATCAGCGGGTTTGGAGGATGTATTGGGCGCCGCGCGGCCGCTCTAGAGCGTTCCGGAACGCTCTGAGAGCGCTCCGGAACGCTCTGGAGCGATTTATCCCGATCCTAGCCCTGTTTTACCTGCGGCGTGGCACGCTGCCCGCGTTGCAGCCGACGGCTCTGTGAGCGCCTCGCCGGGAGAGCTCGCTTGGGCAGCAGCGGGGCCCAGGCCGGGACGTCACGCAGCTGCTGCTGGTCCTGCCGTCGGGGGATCCTCCATGCGGGCCGATGCCGTCGCCTTCGTGCCGCTGGGGGCTGGGGCTGGAGATGGATCTGCCGTGGTTCCGCCCGCCCCCGCCGCCGCCGCTGGCGGGATGACACGGTGCACATGCGGGGCGGTCGTCTTCCCCGGTGCCGTTGCGCGCTCGTCGCGGGACGTCGCCACCGACCCGATCTGCGTTTCGGAGGTTGGTGCGGTGGAGTCGGACCTCCTCGGCCATCCACCTGCTCGGGCGTCTGCCGCTGTGGCTCCCGCGCGTGGACGCGACGATGAGGGTGATGGTTCAGGCGCCGCGGCTTCTGCGCCCCTGCGGGGGGGGACTGCCCGCGGCGCTGTGCAGCCGCCGCTTGCAGCCGGTGCGTGGGAGCCCGTGGGCTTGCCAGCGGACCCCGGTGAGGGTCTCCTCCTCGCCAACGGTGCTGCCTTTTCATCGGGTCTGCTTTTCTCATCGTCCTCTTCTGCTGCTGGGATGCGGCTGACGTCGTCGACTGGCGTGGTGGGATTCCCATCGTTTCGTTTCGTTGCCTATAATTCGGAGGACGGTGACGATCCGCTGAACGAGTATGACGGCAGCGGTTTCGGCATGTAATGTTCTATATCGGGCTATCATTTTTGTTATTCAGGTATGGTTGGATATGCATGATGATTCTGGCGTTGGGCTCACGGCACTCTGCGTTTGTTGTGGCATCTGTTTTTTCTCGTGTGGGGTTTGGACTTCCTGGTGCAACTCGCTCGTATTGTATGTGGCACCGCGGGCCGGCGAGATCGAACAACGCTTTTGGGCGGTGTGTTCGGCACCTTGAATTACATATTGTTTGTCCCTGCTTTCTCGTGTTTCAGCGTTTATGCGAGTGGTTAGCGAATGCGCATCCTGCTAGTGGATATGTCCAATTCTTGGTTTTCGTCCGCCTCAGAATTCTGAGTCGTGGGTTTCTGCTATGTGTTGCAGTGCGTCTTTGGCAATGCATGTGTTTCGATCGGGGTTTTCTGGTGTTGGCGATTATCATTGCATGTGGCTGCCGCGAAGGTCAAGTCGTTCTGCACCTCGTGTGGTCGTGCTTTATGTCAATTATCAGTTGTTGGAGTTTTGGTGGCAAGTTCTTCAGGAACCTCCTGGGCAGGCGTACTCCTGTTCCTGGCGCCACGCTGCGCTGTTAATGTGGGTCCTGGTCTATTTCACCTCGGTGCTGTTCGTCGCGGCCTTCATGTGCAGTGCACTCTTCTGGGGCCTGGGCGTTACTGTCAAAAAAAACAGTGGTGGGAACAGTGAGGACAGTGGGACAGTGGTGGGAACAGCAGGAATTGGGGCATTGGTGGGGACGGCGGCGGTGGGGACAACGGTGAGGGGACAGTGGGACAGTGGTGGGGACAGCGGGGCAGTGGGGACAGTGGGGCAGTGGTGGGGACGGTGGTGGTGGGGACAGTGGTCAGGGGACTGAGACAGTGGCGGGGGCAGTGGGGATAGCGGGACAGTGGTGGGGAGAGCAGCGGGGACAGTGGGGACAGCAGGGAGGGTAGGACCCTGGTGGGGACAGTGGTGGGGACAGTGGAGACAGTGGGACAGTGGCGGGGACAGTGGTGGTGGGGACGGCGGCGAGGGGACTGGGACAGTGGGACAG